GTGCTTCGTCAATTACGAAAAAATTGGATGCAACATTATGTAAGAACATACCTTTTACGTATTTTAATGAAAATATTTAAAACTATGCCATATCCGCGTCACGTTAAATCTTTTGCAGTTATATATTCTTGTGGCTAAACGCAAACGAGAACATTGGATTCAAATATTGATCGAAACACACAAAAGGTGGATGTAAAGAACGTGAATAGTTTAAAAAGATACATAAAACTTATATGTTGGACTGAAATTCTAGAGTTCTGATTTTAATAGTTTAATATGATTATTATAAAATTAGCATATTAAGTTGAGCACACAACAGATAAGGAAAAATACGCTACCCTAATAAAGGAATTTGCAATATTTATGTTATACACAAAATAGAATCAGCAGAGTCCATTAAACTAATCCATTAGGCAAACCATAAAATTATTATATATTTATAACTATCCCATTTACTAATTAAATTTATCGCATGCTGATTATTGTATAATTGCGAAACCGCTAATTAATACAAGCAAGATTACAAAGGCTTCCACCATAATAAGTTATATGTATATTGAGATTATATCGTATGGTCAATTTAATAATCGTGCTTATTAGAGATGCACTTTGCTTCTAAAGCAGGCCTAACCATCTTATTCCGTACGAGAGGATATCTGGGTCATAATGGTCATACACTGTGACCATATCTCACTCGTAGCGAAGTCCTGATCGCAATTAAGAATTTATGTGATCAAAGACATGTAGATATTTGTTAACTATTGTATTAGGTTGGTAAGAAATTAATGTCGATTTTAAATTTTATCTTTAAACGATATATCTCGGTTAACAATACATTTTATTACCAAAAATAAGATCCATTGAAATATATACACTGTTGTCAACGAGAAATTAGGTTTTTGATTTCAATTTTGTAAATCTCTGATCTTTTAGAATTGATAAATTCTTTGAATAATATAGAAGATAGGAAGTAGAACGTATTTATAGACTGAAATTAAATCTGACATAATTCTTTTAGAGCAATAATGATGCTCTGCAGAAAATGACAATTAAATTGAGACCTAAAAATATATCATTATTTTTTTATTGTAAAATACAGCAGTGGTTATTATGCAAATTGACTTATTTTATTTAAAGAACCATAATTGATTTCGTTAATTAGAGTACATGCTCTCTTTCACGAAATGATTGCCTCATAATTACGTAATTGAAATCATTAAAGAAGTAATTAGTAATGTCACATATTATTTCGCCACTCTCTCATTTCGTAATCAGTTAACCTCGTTATCGCCATTTAATTTCTGAGCACTATTACCGTTTATATCATGTACGAATATAAATCCGAGTCCGCTGATATTATCCGCCGACATAATTCGTGTTCTATACCTATCATCTCCAATTATTCAATGTTTATTGCAAACCAGCCGCCTGTGCAGGTCGACGCATTTATTATGTTTATTACATGTCCCACTGATTTATGGGAACAAGTGTCCGTTGATTCGTACGCACCATTGAAATAGAAGTCATAATGAATCTTCCTAGAATTAATGCGACTTCCGTAGATATATATATTAATCAGAATATTGTACTGTGATAAATGTCAGTCTAAAATACAATTTCATCTGCCTAATTTATTAAAATTGAGGGAAAGGTTGAGGGACACTATTGCGTTTTATATTTACTGCTACACACTACGACACGACAATAAGACATGTATATAAATATCATGTAATGAAATTATGCAAAATGTCAATACAGAATGAAATTGCTTCAAGTATGAAAAAAAATATTTAACCAAGTAATAATTTTTTTCATTTCATTCTTTTCTTATTAAAATTTTAATATCAGTCAATATTTCCACCTTTGTGAATTTCGATCAACATGGCAATAAATTAGATCTCAATGAAATCTATTATTCGAGTTGCAAACAAGAAACATTTTGAACATTCCAATTACTTCTGAGCAGTGAACGGAGGAAGAGGAAAACGTCCACGGGGCATTAGGGCGATCAATAACTCTCAGATTCTCGCTAATTGAACTTTTTCGTCGTCATGAATGTTTTAACACTGATTCCATGAATTTCTGAAATTGAAATTAAGTTTCAGCGTTTAACGGTATTCCCGTGTTCTCGTTAAAAATTCAGCTATGTTCATACAACTCCACCGAGAAAGTGAATCCGGGCTCGTGATTTACCTAAAACATCAATATCCTGGCGGTAACGCTAGCATCGCCTTTAAACGATGTTCGCTTTAGTCTTCACGTTGTTCTGGTCTAGAGGATAGATAAATACCTCAGCCACATATATCTGTACTGACGTTTTGATAGAAGTTACGTCAGTATCTCGAAACTCCGGCTTCCTGCACGATCTCGAGCTTCCTTCCCTCCAACTAGCTTCATCCGACCGCTGCGCTGTTGCGTGTAAGGCAGCAAACGCAAATACTGTTCTTCGAGTTCGAGCTAACTGTGATAAATTGAGGAAAATAAGCTAACTGAGGGATCAAGGAGACAGCCGACCTGAGTAATAATATCGTACTTTGGTCGAGTGTAACTTTTGGATACGTGGGACGTTACGACACGATGTAGCTAGAAAATGTAGCACCCAATAGTACTTTGGAAAGTATTATAACCAGATGCACATAACGCGCTCACTATACATTTTTTAAACGTTGATAACTCAGCTCTAGCTTGGTATAATAATAATAATTGTGAAAAAGAATAGTTAGAAACATTTTCTTTTCGCATTTATTATTATACCTTTCCTTTCCTCAATCTAACATGTACAATATTTTTAGTTTTTTTAAACATTACATTTATTTCCGTAAACCATCTCCTGAATTTAAGTAAATCACGAACTCGATTCGTAGAAATGCTTTTTTATTACATACCGTCACACACCCATGCGGAAACACGCTGTGGAATCCCCATCGCATTTGAACGTAACTCGGCATAAAATCTCGAAGGTAGCACCGGTACTACTTGGGGTCGAGGCAGCCGGGGCCGTGGCAGAGGTCGCGGGGGCGGCGCGAACCTATTCGGTTCAGGCGTCGCCCCCGCGAATTACTCTTCAGGACTGCAGAGCGTAGCGCCTGAGCTGCGGGAAGTGGTGAACATCCTTGGCGAGAGGAATCAAGTTGGAACGCTAACGGGCGTGGGACCTCCACCGGGAGCCTTGGACAACGAGCCAGGTGATGAAGAGGAGGGCACGTCGACGAAAAGACCGCCGAGGCCACTCTACAGAAGGCTGATCAATTACGTTCGGCAGGCCTGGACCGGCGTCAAATTCGCTTTAGGTATTTCGATAAATTTCAAAAGTATTTTCTGTAGCAAAACAGAATTGATCGAATATTTCGTTTGCCATTAGAAAATTAGTACAACTTTGTAGAGCTTGATAAATTGTATGTATTGTATTAGTGCAAAAGTTCTTGATATAAAATGAAACACTGTGTTTCATTCACTATTGTACCGACTAAAATCAGCTTTGGTATCGAGAGGGTTAAAATTGATCCTCGTAATATGATAAAATAATGATAAATTAAATATGAAAATGTACTAGCTGATCGTAATTTTTGACTTACACCAAAAGTGCATTCGGGGTTCAAGTAGACCAATATCTCGCGACGCAAATATCTACGTTTCATAAACTTCGTGCAATTTATCGTATACTCGGCGGTATGCTCGAATCGTATCTCATGAAGTGGTTGAAACACATTTTCCGGAAACGTGTAAGTCTCTTGAGCCACTGTTGCCTCTCGAGTTGCTCACGTGCTTTACCTAGTCATCTATGTTGCATGACTCCAGTATGCTTCCATCGGTGTAAACGCACGTTCACCAATGTTTTACGTGTTTCAAAGGTTCTTGTGTTCGACTTTCAACTTCGATCGACTTTCTTTTCGTAAATGACGATCATTACTCCACCCTTCTGCTCCTCCGTGTAAAACTTATAAAGAATTTACTACCTTACTTGGAAATCCTCTTATCGCTTCTGACTTATAATGTTTAAAACTTGATTGTATGAATTGGTAACATTATAATTACAGACAGAATAGTGTGCTTAAATTATACCCTAAAATTCATTGACTTGTCATTCTGTCTTTCAAAATTAAAATTATGTACTTTTTACTGCGAAATATACTTGTAATTATTTGAAAACACATTGATCGTGTATTTGTCTATTAATCTTACAAAAAGCAAGATTAATTTTTAATATGAAAATAATATGAAAATGAGTATGTCGATAAATTCTATTAAAGGAACAGTACAGTTTCCAATAGATTCCTTTCTCATTACTCGTAAGCCAGCGACTTTCGTTCGCGTGGAAGGTAACTGAATTCTCAAAAGCATTTTCCGGGCTGTACAATTCAACACCTCGTTGAATCGAAACGAATAAAAGCATACGTCGGTGGGCATCGAAACAGCCTGACAATAGGTTGCAACGCCATTCGCGGAAAATTCATTTAAAACATGCGAACGCACATGTTCCATGTATACGCTCGCCGTGATTGGTGAATCGTCTATACGTGTCGATTACACACGATTAGAATTCCTTTGTTGCCACCAGAAAAATGTTAATTACCTACCTGTTCAGAATGGTTCAACTAAACTGTTATAACCAGCGAAGTGCTAAAATGTTAAAAAGAAATACCATGACGTGCTACTTTGCTTATGACGAGAAATAAATTAAAATGCTTACAAAGGGAAGCTCACGTGAGCTTAGAACTCTTTATACTGAAACTTTTACTGCGTATGCGTTTGATATAATTTCCATTTCTATTTTTATCTTTTTTGGCAACGTTTAATTAAATCATTGTTTGAGTTGTAAATACGCCAAATAACCGTTAATTTGAAATTTCGAATTCTGGCGCAATGAAGCATTGAAGATGAATTTTCCACGAGGAAAATAAATTTCATACTTCAATACAGAAGCAGACTAGGTTCTCTTTGGTATTGAGGAGGTTATACGACAAGAAATTTACGGGTAAAGGAAGCACGTAAATTGGGTTCGTAGCACTCTCCGCATGTTCGTCTTAACGAATGTACTCTTTCTTCTACCACCTGCACGCGAACACCGGCGGATACATACAATGTACATACGGTAGGTACATTTAAGAGCTGAAAGTGAATATATATTATACATTCAAACGTAGATCTTGATGAATCTGTGAAAGAAATACGTTACACCGATACTGTTTAAAAGTTGATTCTATCAAAAACATGTATACGTCATTAAAAATTGTAAATAAATTGCATGATATAATTGTATGTGTAACTCCAATTCTCGTATCTATTTAAATTGTGCATGTACTTCATTTAAATATTTCGCTTTCCTTATATTATCCAGATTTATTTCGTACGTAATTATAAAAAAAATGGAATGAAAGAAATATTTAAAATATAATATTTAATTTTTGACTCCTTTAATAATATGCGATGTACTATTTTAAATTGTATATGGAAAAGAACAAATATGTAATACCGTCCGTAGAAAATATTTTGAGACAGATAGTAGTGAACTTAAAGCTGAGCTCCCATTGTACAAGAATCATTTTGACGTTTCATTTAGAAAACGAACACGTGTTACAACACTCGACAGCGAGCAGATAGTTCCATCAGAGATCGATATACTTTTTCGATAGAAACCAGAGTTGCATGGCTCCTCGTTTTCTGATCACAGAATAGGAACAGATCCGTCTGAACATCAAGCACGCGCAGATTATTGTTACGGGAAGACAAAATATGTTCCGCAATAGATGCGCCTCGTCTCTTATAAGATCTAATATCGGAAAGGCGAATGAAATGTGAACGGCGCCCTGTTTCCCCTACGTTTTTCATATCTCATAATTTTTATCGTCCATCGTATACGCCTCTTTCCATCTGTCCCGATTGATATTGAAAGTAGCAATCACTTGACGCAGTCTCCTTGACGTGGTAACATCAACCATCAATGAAACATCAAATAAATTCCGAACGGAATGATTACACTTTTTTCAATATGTTGCACTTTATTTCTGTGGTTAACAATTTTAAAACTAAAGAAGATTCAAAATATATAAAAAAAAATATATTTAAATTCGTATTATTAAAGAACTTAAGTTCAATCGTGCAGCTACAAACATCTGGTAATGAATTTTATAGACGAATTAAAAAAATTTACAAACTGGGAGCTTTTGGAAAAATTCATTATCTATAAGAAAAAAGATAATACCTAATTTTGATCGTGTTAACTACATCTTTACCTGGTAAACTAAGGTAACGTACATTACTATGGGGAATTCTAAGCATTATACATATCAATATATCAGTAATATAAGGTCCCTATAGATTAGCATTATGTGTATCCAGTGTTACGAAATTCAAATTTATGTAAAGTTTATTTCAGCTTAGTTTCGGCTTCCTGTGCACGTATTCTACGTTTATCATAAACTTAGGGTTTCGAGATCTGACTTGGAGCAAACAATCGCATGAACGTTGTATTTCTCGTTAATATTACATTAAACTAGGATATACATAAACATTACATTTTGAAATCTCTGAAATAAAATAGTCCTGTCTTAGATACACTTTTTCTTCCACATGTCCTCTTCGATCAAGACGTTCCATTCTATGCTGCATCAGTGTTTTACTTGTTTCTGTGGTTGCTATGAATGTTTAAAAATTATTTTCTTCACTGTGTTGACTTAATTTAAATCTTAATTTAATACGTGAATGCATTTATTCTGTTTTTATAATAACAAGTTTAACAAAATATAACAATTTAATTGTTCATGCGAATTTTTTTTACGACTTGCTAGTCTTTATAATACATTAATCACAAATAGGATTGATTTTAAAGTTTATTTGTCTTAAACGTCCAATGCGATCACTTTTAGCGATATGTTTGTACTGTATGTATTACTGTATACTGCTATTACTGCTTCTAGTAGTAATGTATCGTGTAGGATCAGACGTGCACATCCCTGATAACTGTAGATAACATTTCGGACAGCTTGGATGAGTCTATATTTCGCAAATATTGCTATTATACATCAACTACTGATAGTTAATTGTAGATAATACAAACCCAATGTAAACGTGAACGCTGTGAAATATTAAATTACGTGTATTCGATAAATAAAAGGAGATGAACAATTAGAGCTGCACACAATCTTTAGAATGAAACAAACAGTTTAATAAAACACAATTTAAAACATAATTGTTGTGATGTAATGTAGTAAAGTATATTTTTAAAATGAACTTCGTGATATATTTATTAATTGCAGTATTTTGTTTATCATGTTGTTAACAGAGGGATCTTTGATTTCCATTTTTCAGATTCGGAATACGAAGAGGAACAGACACCCAGATACAGACCTGACTCTTTGGCGAGTCTTTGTCGGGCCACGAGATTCACGGAGGCAGAGCTGAAGAGAATATATCGTGGTTTCAAAGCAGAATGTCCCACGGGAGTCGTCAGAGAGGAAACTTTCAAGTGCATCTACTCACAGTTCTTTCCGCAAGGAGGTAGGTGCATTACGGTATAATATCTGAAAAATGTTACCACAGTTTTAATTAACGATGTACACACGGGAGGAAAAGCGAACAATCTTAATCCTCTGTGACTTAGAGTTTGGATTGACCTATATACTATTTTTTACACGCTGTTTTTATCATTTTCGAAGGTAATAGTAAACTCATTGAGTAATAGTCCTAACATACAGTGATTGATATTGTACATGAAGTTCAGTCACTTACAAAAATTTTTAAGAAACAAAGCTGCCTCTACATTATGTAACAAAACATTTTTATGTAACGTTTCAAATTTTGTTGTGTAACATATTCCTATAAACTGTGAAATAACAATAAATTATTCAATCATCATTCTTCTTGTACATGTTTTATTATACAGTATAGACGCAACTAAATAAAAATAACAATGACGAGATGCATGTTTGCATCAGTTAAAGATGCAGTTAGAATTCCATTTCTATTGCGCGCTGCTTTTAAGGTAAATAATGCCCGAGAGAAGCAAGAGGTCTCGAGTATAATAATATCATGAAATAAATAATATGAAGTTCTCGTCTAACTTTTTCGCTGTCTGGTTTAGTGCTGAACACGCGTAAGTGCGCATTTAACTTTCAAATGCTGCAATCCTGCTTATAATAGAATAAGCCATCAAATAGCTATAAGCAACAGTTCGTACATAGTTTCCATACTTGTGTGCATTTTCAGTTTCCAGTTCATAACAACGTGCGCACGTCCCGAGGAAAAATTAGAAATACTGATTACTGTACAAATTAGAATAACTTTAAATATAAAATCAGTTTCATAAAATGCACGATAGAATAGTGGTTGCCATTTTTTAATTTAATTTTAAATCGAATATACTATAAAATATGATGCCTAGCAAGCAATAGCTGTTAGGGAACTATTTTACATCCCGGTAAAAGGATTTGAATTTAAAGAGCCGAGCGAATTCAGTTTATCTTTGTTTATCCGAGGCGTGTACTCGCATTTAAATTCGCTTCGTTCCACAGTAACGGGAAGTTTTGTCGGAAAGCATAAACAATAGGAGAGAGATATATGCGTATGATAGGCGATGGGTACTCGGGAAAGAAAAATACAAAGGGAAAGGAAAGCACAATCGAATAGAGCAAATAACCTCGTGGTGTTTCGTCGGACGCAGATATAGTTACCATGGTAACAAGCTCTCATATCAAAATCGGTCAGCGTTTCAGCACTCCCCTTTATCCGTCCGTATAAACGATATCGATATTCGCCGACGGATAGTTTCCTATCGATTTTGAATGTTCCACGGCTTTTCAAGGTATTCGGGTAACTCTTAAAAACGCTTATTTCAAACTCTATTGACAATGAAGATGAACGATTGCATTGTCAGTCGAGGATTGATATGGCACACGTGCAATTTTTACTTCTTTTCGTTGAGAAAGTGTTACTAATTGCTCAGTTAAATCTTATAAAAATATAAATTGTACGTAGAATGTTTTTTTTTTAATGAATGTCACGAAATTCTGTTTGAATCGTTTTTATATCGAGAGCTGACGCTTTTTACAAATTGAGTGAAATAATTCGTCAGTCTGCAGCCTGGTTATGACATGCACTGTATACACGTATGTCGTGAATGACATGCTACATTCATAAAATCGCTCCAAAAATGTCACTATATTTTTTTGATTGACAGATCAATTTTCCACTTTTTAATTATCGCGTGTTGAGTATCAGCAAAAAGGAAATAGCAATTTTCACGTAACTATAAAAAGTGACGAGGAACATGTCACTACAATCTTATAATAACCAGTTGAGAATTAAGTGTGTAACGCCTTGTACTGTAATTAAAGGAAATTAACAATTTTTAACCCAAATTAAAGATAAATTTGAACAATCTTCAAATAACTAAGTAGAAAGCTGCTAATTTAAATAGTCTTTTACTGGAGTAAAGGGAATCCATTAACTTTCAGTATTTACATTAACTCGTTACCTCGACAGTCCACTCTTTAAATCAAATTGTACAAAAAATAACTGAAGCGTAAGAACGGCGCAAAAAATTGTTCACAAAAAGTAAGTCTCTGGTAAATCCTCTGAGCTATAAATCTGCAGTAAAAAAAAATTGATGGCATTGCACCAGTGACAGAAGTTAAATTTTGGTATAAATATAAAAAATAATACGTTCATGCACAAAAAATAATACACATCAAATTTTTCCACCGTTTTTTCCTTTTTAAAGTAATTCCTACGTGAGCATCAAGGTTTTTATGCAATCTGATTGAAAGTATCGATTTAAAATGTTTTTGTTAGCAGGAAGCGAACATGACTAAAAAACATCGAACTACTTTGCACGCAACAATAAGTACATAGTGACAAACCTCGTTTCTCTGACAGTGACAATTTTTCTTCCTGAAAGATTTTACGGCTTTACTGCATGTCGTACCAATATCGTGATTTGTGTGCTGCTCAACATAAGAAAAAAATACGAGAGAAAATTTATGGTCGACAAACATCAGGGACTCAAGAAATGTTAAAGGCTGAAAAGAAAATAAAACTAACGAAACTTAGTGGATGTTTCACTTGTTTTCATTCTTCCATACACTTCAATCATCAAATATTTCCTTACATTACAAATTGTTTCTTGATTACTGAGCAAATCTGCAATGGTTTTTTCTTCGAGATTACACTAACAATTAGATGATGGATTTTATGTATTATTAGAAAAATTGGATGTACAAAAAATATGAAGAATACGTGTAATGAGGGAAACGAAACACAAACGACACGTCCATAGATTTGGTGTGTAAATGGAACTCGTGGGGACAATTTTATTCGCGTACGAAAGTTGGAAACATTTTCCCAAACGAGTGCAGAAAATCACACAACTACATACTGTGATACATTTGTGAAATTATACCGATACTAAGCTCGTTATCTCAGTAAAGAACAAAGTAAATTGTAAACTAAAAACACTATCGTATTAAACTTGCTACTGCGTAACATATTTTTCATTTCAAAATTATTATGCACAGGTCAGTCTCCTATAAGCAAACCGGAGCGTTTGTAATAACGCTTAGGAGACCCAAGAGTAAAACTTAAGATTACGGGATGCGTCTACTGTTATCGTTTTTCCTTCTTGTATGGGTAAAAGTTTCAACCGTTAGGTTCCCTTAAGTAAATAATCAATTTATAGGTGATAATGTTACTCGTAAGTAAGATTTTCTTCTTTTTAACCACTTTCTTCTCTATACTATATCTCTTACTTTCCATTTGAGACAACTTTTTGTAGTTGATAACAAGCCTCCAATTGCTAGAATGCCATTCGTAGACGTCATGATGGAGAACTACAGGCATTTATTGTTAGTAAATCTGTCAACCATGTCTGCATTATTTATAATAAAATTTACGTCACAAAAAGCCAAAGAAAAATGGATCCTCCATCTCATTACCTCCAGTCCTTGTAAAAATACGATTCTGAGATATAGTATACATGTATATGTTTGTTCATAAGGGTTCGCGAATCCGTGCAGGTCGAAGTGATTCGCCGCAAGCGTTTATCCCTGTTTCTTATCAAAGAGAAATATGTTTCTATTTATCTAAAGATTCTGTAGCCACGTCTGGAAAAGGTAAACAAAACTGTCGTGTGTAACCAGGGGCCTGTGCCGTGCAACGAAATGAGATTTGTATCTTCAGAACTGACAGAGAGAGAGAGGACGTTCAACGAGAGGAGGACATGCGTTTCGGATCGATAGTTCAAAGTTAAAAAGATGAATTGCGACAACGCGATAACGTATCGCTCAATAACGACTTTGCCATATAGGTAGCACTTGTTTGCGGTAACTAATGTCATTCATAACTAGTGCATACATATCTAACGAATAGCCATTTGATTCCATAAATTATCTGTAACGCACCTGTTTACTATTCCGTTTAGATATTTATACACAAGAAATTATTTCGATTCAGTGAAATGTTTGTTATTACAGAAATTGAATACCATCAATACTTCCTTTTACCTATAATAACGTTCTTTCATAGAAGGAAATAAGGAATTAATAAAGTAGCGAAGTTGTGGAAGAGTGGAAAATCTTTCTTATAGAATTGCGTCATTATTTAAGTCTTTTTGAGATATCGCTTTGATAGAAAAATACATTTAAACGAGTCCTTGGCAAACGGAGTTATCTTATAATATAGTTTCTTAGATTTCTTCATTGTAAACAGAAAACTTATTCAAAAGTAGTAAGAAACGGAACACGGAGATCAGAAGAAACGGAAGTGAGAAAAGTTATTGTTAGTATTCAATAGATATCCATTTCCATTCTCCCAAAGAGTACGTACATATAACGCCCCAAATCCTTGAATGGAAAATACGAGTTTCTCCTCTAAACTTCTGTTCCTCTACCAAAACATTCCTTGCTTTATCACTGCGGCATTTGTTATTCCACTTCCTACTATGTACATACATACAATTTCCATGAGTAAAATTTCGTACGTGGTTGAGTATATAAAATTTTAGTATTAGTAATTCATATTCTTTTAACTATTAATTTATTTATTTTATTTATTATTTATTTCTTTAACGTCAGAAAGCCTATTAACTTTTATATATTCTCTGATTATATAAGAAATATTTGTGTAACGTTTTACAAACTTCTCGTATTGACAGGAACCTAAATTATTCCAAGTTCTAACTGTGTAAAATAAATAAAAATTCCCAATGGTAGCTAAAGTTTCCTGTTGAAGAATTCGGTCTCAGAGCAGTCTTTCTCCATGAAAATATCACCACTCTACTTTTAAACGCAAGCGTCCCTGTAGTCTTGTTCTCTTTACAGAGAAGAACATTTCAAGAATTTTGTTTTCGCGCAAGATTAAATGTATCTTCGATCATTTATAAAATGTTCAGAAATTACTGACCGCCATTGAAAATCATATATTCATTATATTACATTTCATTCATGTTAATTCTTAATAATTTTCTTTGCAATAACCGAATATTTGCCTGTTAAGACCGTAGAATGGTTATTTTTTAATATTGATAGACGAACTTCTGATCTTGCAAAAGCCTGGTTCAGTACCTGTGTCTAAGGTAGTATCGTTCGTTTGTACAGTCTCGGTAAACTATGTAGAAATTCGTGTACACGTAGAGTTGTGCATCGTCAACATGATGCGTTCAGAACCGAAACTGTACAAACACATTCGACTTTGATCATCTATAAATTCTAGGAACTAATAAACTGAACTGAAAATCAAATAAAATGTCATGAATTCAAGCTAACGTGTTATACAATTATTTTAGTAATTATTTAGAAGTTTGGTCTCACACCGATTTTGCTGATTATTTAATATGTTGTCAGAGACATGATTACATGTTAGCGCCGCTTGGCCTTTCGTTTCCAAAATATTTGCAAGTTGGGTCCTCTAAACAATGTATTGAAAAATCAGCGAAATCGACGTCGAGACGAAACGTGTAAATAATTATTTCATATTTTAATAAATAACTCAAATAATGTGTGGATATATTCGCACGTCCGTAAAGTAACGAACATGGAGAAAATTATCTTATGAATAATTTGATCGCGCGTGGGAGAACAAAACTAATTTCTGATTATTGGGGCGTCGGAAAACAGCAGAGTCCATTTTCCACTGGAAGCCCAATTCGCGCGAGCTCGACAACTTTGACGAGTTAATCTACTTTACCCCCACCGGACCAGGTACAAGAATCCCACTGTGATAATTCGCCAGAAGGACCGTGTACTAATTTCTAGACTTTAGACTTTAGACGAATCCTTTCAATTGAAACGCTACCTCCGAGACTTCTGGTTAAGAGAGACAATGCTGTTGATTTACATTCCTTAACGTTGCTTCACGAAAAATCTGCAACACGAAACATATATTAAACATTATCTTTGTAATTTCCAAATCAAATACATTACTCTTCGTAAATTTCAATTACATCTATGATTGTCTTAATCTTTATAGACCGCCGGAAAGCCGGAATATCTACTCAAACATTGATGAGTACTTTATATGACGTATACGCTTGATATAATCACATTATATATGACTTTTTAAAGACGTTTTAATCTAACTAATATCGGCGGCCTAAAGATTTATGATGCACTAAATTTACTCATTTATCGGCCCGGTGATTTTTGATAAATTAATTCCTTAAAAGGAACTGTAAATCTACTAATTAACCGGGGCTTGTTTGTTTAACTCGCTATGATCGTAATTAATTGAAAAATTTAGCGAATAAGTAGTACAAGGATACTTTTCCCCACAAAAGTTGTATAAGCGAAAAATAAAAATTGGTTTTTAACACTAATGACATTAACAATATGTTTTAATTCCCAATACTCATTTATCAATCTGTCATATTAATAATACGCAATGATTGTGAGCATTTGAAAAAGCAATTAATTTACACAGATTAATTAAATTCATTAATTACGTACGTACAAAATTGTACATCTGTATGTACATAACACATTAATTAAATTTAGCAAATGATGAAGTGAATCAATACTCGATTTCAGAACTTAAGCGGCATAACAAATTACAATGACATTTAAATATCTTATGTGTCGGTGACACGATCCTGAAGAACTTTTTTTCAGAGATTGAACAGCTTCCGAAAATAACTGTGTCAAAACTGTTTTATATCGGTCATGATCGAAACAATTACGAAGAACCGAAAAAAGGTCATGACTGTTGTTAAGTATATCGATTCTGATTTATATCGGTGTCAGATTTTGAGAGCAAGAGAGTGTACATATTTCTTGATTTTGAAAGAAATAATACACACGACTGTCTCTCACTACAATTACTCTCCTAAAAATATGTATACGATTCGGACGTTCGCAGTTAGAAAGAGTCGTTTATAGTTATTAAAAACTGGTTTGGATTAAATGTGTGCTCATTGGGAGTCTCCCTACTCTGATATGATTGCATTTCTCCTGTACAAAATCATAGTGAACGTCGTCTCACTTAAGGGAAAATAAAACAGTATTTATGTTAAATAATTTCGAGCACGAATTCCTGGTTAAATCGAAAGCGCTCCTTTCCGGACAAGTGGCAGACACTATTACGCAAGAGCGTAGTTAGCAGTTTCAATTTACGAACTATTCTAAATTCGAGGATCTTGAAAGATTTCTGCCAAGGATGGCCTTAGACTACTCGCCATCTGAGAAATTGAAGTGCTTTTACGGCTACTTTTATACAGCGTTCCGTGGTAAACGCGCGCAATATCGTTATAGTACAAGTGTTTTCTTTCACAAACAAACTTGTTCCATAGCAGAAATTGGGAATTTGCGTCTTTACGACCAAAGAATATTAACAAGTTCTAATTTATTCGCTTCCAAACTTGGACCTTGTCAGCATCATAATTGCCGAGCTTTGAGTAATAATTCAATTAGAATTTCCAAAGAATTTATATTATTACTTCAATAATAGATAGTAGAATTTATTAAAGACAATTATTAATAATATTTCTGTGTTTCTTTTTAATTAAAATTCCTATGTTTGTTTAATTTTTCAGCAAATACTAGCCAGTACGCGCATTATGTTTTCAACACTCTGGACCAGGATCACAGTGGTCTTCTGAGTTTTGAGGTGAGTACATACTCTTAATGACATAATACTTTTATGTTTAAAACGATGAATGTGAAAATTAAAGATTGTAGGATAAGACTTAAAATTATTATTGAATCCAAATCGAAACTACTGCAAGATTTACATCAGAATTAAATTAATCTCATTCTATGTAACCATTGCTTGAAAAGCATTGAAATAAAAACGTGCATTAATTTAAATTGCACTTCTTAAATAAACTTAAAATGTAACTGTTAAGAATTATATATAATTTTCAAATAGAAAATAATGCACAAATTTCATTTCCCTGGATACAACACTATGCAAAAATGAAGATGGTACATGATTGACAGCTGAACATCATACACGTGCGATATATTAATGGTATTCTATATTTATCGTACAAATTGTTGTCGCCCTTGTACAATTAGTCGTTCGCAGAATTCAATTGGCAAGTATGCTCCAAACAAATATCTGACGGAGATTAATGCTAATTGCTAGGTAGGACGCCAATAACGAGCAACATAGATCTAACCGAGTTTTCCAATCAACAGCCAAGGCCAATCAATCGCGGTTAATTCGCGGATCGATACGAACGTTTCTGCCCCTCTGTTTACTATTTCGAGAAGCAAGAGACCAGGAAGAAAACGTCGAGTGGGATAATTGCGAATTAACACAATTATCTTCCTCTCTTTGGTACCCCCGGGCTAGTAATATACTTTATGTAATTAGTTTTCGAAATCACACAACGTCGTAGTTCTCTGACCCGCAAACGTTTCGTTCAAACCAGTTTATTCTTTTTCTTTTCCTCTGCCCACAGCAAAGCCTCTGCGAGAGCCTTTGACGCCCAAACCTCCTTAATTAAGTCCTTCTATCAGATTCTTTCTAACTGACCCCTATTCATGGTACGGTGTATCTACTTTCTCTCTTTGATCCCTGGACAGTGTGATCCCCTTTTCACTGCGAACAGTAGATAACCAAAAATATATTTTACCCTCGTTGCGGTTTCTTACGTATAACGTAGAATACAGGTACTTAATAATTGGGCAAAACTTTCCGCTGATCATGAAACGTTCTTTATTTATTTTACATTCTTTTCATATACTTCCACATACAAAAATATTGTAATATCATATAAATTTCTAGTTGTTTAAATACTTCTCAAATTCTTATCGTATCTATCTGAGTATGATCGTCAATCTAATTTTCCGAGAGGAAGTTAAAAATGGAATTAAAATAGTTTTCTCTTCAAGATAGTATAATGTTCCAGCTTCGTAGAACTGAAGGTCGAATCGACATTTTGCAATTTGAAAAGTTTTCAAACTTAATAGATATGAACAAGTTTAAGAGAAATTCCTTTGAGATGTAAAACTTATAGATTAAGAAAACAAATCTAATTCTTTTGTTAATCCATTTTCTTTTGTGCTCTCAGCTTCACCATCTAAGACATTACTAGCGGTGCCTTATGTATGACCTATATCATATCTTTTTTAATGGATCAGTGTTTAAATATCAACGTGCATAATTTAGCTACTAAATTTTTCTCAAACCTATATTTTATATTCCATAATAATCAATTTCTACGAGTGGGGTAACTTTGATTTTCATAATACGTTTCCCTTATACGTAATTAAATAAAAAAATATTTTGTATGCATAGCGAAGTGAAATTTTTCTATGGAATTAAATTCCTTATAATAATACGATACTTAATACTGACGGGAAGAAAATCCCTTCGTATAATACGGAACGTGAATCATGCTTAACGCGAGCTGCTATACGTCCAGAAACACTTTCGGGTAACAGGAATCGCTGGCTAAGTTCAATCGTATTACGAGCTAGACATAAGATCTGCAAACGCTAGGAGATTACCGTTGCAGCTTTACGGTGTGATAATTTTTACTGAGCAGTTCTCACTTCGTGACGACACGACTCCTCCATCTTCGGCTCTTCTCTGCCTTCGCGTATTTTCCTTGCACATCAACTTATCGTCCTCCTCAGGCGCCGATTTCTAACTTAATCGTATTATATCTTTGAAACTCTTAACCTTGATACTCTTCGTCCTCCGGTTTAAATGGTACGTGCATTTTCAATGTGCACAAAATCAATGGAGATTGTGTGTCTACTTATACATAGATATTGATCAATCAGTATAATGTACAGTAGTAGCAACATTTTTATGTGAATATTAAAACTTATAGACCACCAATTTTCGTAAATAAAAAAGTTAGTTAGAAAGTTCATCCCCAACAACATAAAAAATCATTCCAATCCGAGTGATTAACTTCGATCGTGACGCTCGGCCGTGGCATAGCGCGAGTC